AAAAAAAAAGAAAAAAAATGTAAAATAATTTAGGATTAAAAAATTTTAAAGTTTTATTTTTTAATGATTTAATATTTTCAAAAATTCTTTAAATATATCTAAAGAAGAAGGTTTCTGATGTCTTTTCTCGGGTCTTTTTTTGAAAGCTGTCATCTCCTGCCTTTCTTTTTCTAACTTTCCATCCCTTGATCTCCACGAGTCACACGTCAGCGAATGGGTTTGAAAGCAGTTCCCACTTCACCATTGGCAAAAGGGAAATCGTTTGATTTCGATTTCCACCACCTTTTGCTGTGTTTCTTTTCCGAGACTGAGTGACGGAACTTAGGCTGCTGCGGAAGTGCATCAGACCATTTCTTTAAATGGGATAGTCCTGTCTAACTCTGACCTTTCGACAACCCTCTTTCTGTTGAAAGTAAGCAACCCATACTCAGCAGCTAGACTTTGTTTTTATCTTGGATTTAGAATGATAGAACAAATAAAATATTGGTTAAAGTTTATTACCAACTTTCTACTTCAACTTTTATGGAGTAACTTAAATTTTTTTTTTTTACACTTTTATGGATACAAAAATAATCGTTAAAATATTTTCTAATGTAAACAAATCGACTTAGTTTATAAAAGCTTTTTAAGTATTGTTTACGTTTTAATATAAGTTGCTTTTATCTTGACTTAGCATAATTTTATTTTATTTTTTAATGTTGGCAAAGTGTTTCGTTGATTTTTCGATTATTTAAAAAAGTGTATTTATATATAACATTTATTTATTTTAAAAAATTTAAAATTATTTAAAATTTATTAGTTAATAATTTTAGGTGGCGACATCTGTTATCAAATTTCATAACAAATTATAACATACAATTTTATTTTATTTTATAAAATTATTTTAAAAATATTTACATAAAATATACAAAATATAATTATTATTTTCATTTCGCTTTTTTTATTTTTGTTAACACATTTAGATTATTACTGCATTTAGGAAATTAATTATTATAAAAATAATCACGTTTTAAATTTTATTATAAAATATTCGTTTAATTTTATTATAGAATTTTACTTATTTAAAATATTTTAATTAGATAATGAATAACTTCAAGTTTGCATTATTTTAAGTAAATATTTTAAATGTAGAAATAACGAAAGAAACGAAAGAATTTATATAAAAAAATGAATAAAAGTAAAATAAAAACAGAATAAGATTCTATCCATAGACTTAAAAAAAATAGTAAAAGAAAAAAACAGATAATTAAGGAAACCACGGATAGAATTCTTAAAAAGAAACATTTGTAGCCTTTGTTTCTATCAGTTTCAGCACTTTTCTTTTTCAAAAGGAGCACATATTATATGTGATATTCTGCATTCATTTTGAAAATGCATACATTATACTTATTTTGAATTAAAATTTTGAATTAAAATTTTATTTAATTTTTTATATTTGAATTATCATTGAAACAGAAAAATATGTGAATTAAATGCTTTAAACAACAAACATAATTAAAGTTTTTCAAAAATTAACATTTTTTTGGTTTTGAGTGAATATTTATAATCAAATATTTGTAAGAATTGCTAAGTCTTGAGATATCAATAGTGAAAAATAAGTATTATTCATAATGTATATCAAATATAAAAATACAGTAGATCCCCCTATAACGCGTAGATACGTTCTTCGTTATACGAATTTCGCGTTGTAGGAATCCTTAAATACGTGAGCCAATCACAGCCCGACACGTGAAGTTTACGGACTATGGCTGTTTGAAAGGTTTTCTTCCATAAAATTAATCGATTCTAGACTAATTCGACTTAACATTTCCAAAATACATATAATTTTTTGGGAATAATCCGTATAAACTATGCTATANTTATGTTATTAATTCATATGTTATAATCTTTTTTATTTTAGAGAGAATTGTGTTCTTAACTGTATGTATACCTATAAACTGTAGTTAAAATTATATTTTAGATATAAGCCAGATATTTGTGCTGTAAGTCTGCAGCTTTTTCAATAATAAAAAAAAAATCATAATTGTGGCTCAAAAACTGATATGTACGGTACCTTATGTTTAGATATAGAGTATTCTTTTCTAAGTTACATTTACATGTATTTTTTAAATTTTCAAAATATTTCGTAAATTTAAAAATTTTTTAAATAATCAGCATTTATTTATTTTTATATTCGAATTAGTGATAAATTTGTAAATAAAAATTACTTGTTAGATTTTTAAAGAAGCATCAAACTGCTTTCTAAATATTTTTGACAGTTTATTTTTCAACAAAATGTAATTTGTCAGCTTTGATACAAGTGTAGAATTTTTTTGATAAAGGTAAATTGCTAAAAATATTCAGGGAAAAAATTATTATTGAAAATTTTTTTTTCTTTCTTTGCAAAATAAATGTGGAATATATTATTTAACTTGAGTTTGTTTTTCCACAGGACGTAACACGTATGAAGAAGCAGCTGCATACATTCAGATGAAATTTGAAAGTCAGAATAAGCGTAAAGACACAAAAGAAATTTACACACACTTCACTTGTGCCACAGATACCAATAACATTCAATTCGTTTTTGATGCTGTTACTGATGTCATCATCAAACACAACCTTAAAGATTGTGGTCTATTTTGAAAGGTATAATTAATGTTTAAAGTATGTTTAGTAAAGATGAAAAACTCCGGAATAGTTATTAATGATACTAAATTTTTACAGGTAATTGATAGTTCCAAATTAAGAAAAGCAACAATCAAAGACTGTCTACAGAATTCCATTGCTTCTCATGGATGTATGTTCACTGTGCCAATTTATGCATTTTGATATGAAGTTTTCTGAAAATGTCTTCCTTCTTTCAGAGTCTCGTGCCTTTCTCTCCTTTAAACTGCGTGCCAATATGTATAAAAAAAATGACCAAATGTTTTTTCCACTCAAAGGGCATAAATGTGTATGTTGTGAATAACACTTCTATTTTTTCACTATTTACAGAATTAAATTAAAATGACTGAATAAAAATAAATGGGGAAAACAAGTCATTCTTGACCTATTTGCAAAGTACAGTACATTGCAATGTTGAATTTGTAAAATTTTCCTTTTTTCATTTTTAAATAAGCAAAAAACATACTTTATAATGTTTTGTAATGAATGAAACATTAATAATATAAACTGTTATAAATTTCTTTAAAAAAATAATCAGTTATGAGATGAAAAAAAAAGTAAATATTTTAAGCTTGGGCATTTATATTTGTTGTTTTGCATGATTATTAAAATTATTTGAATTTTAAAGTAATGAAGCAAAATGGTTGAAACAATTGACAGCTTTATAAAAAAAAATAATAAAATTATTACTTTTTGTGTTAACTTTATTACAATTATTATTATTGGTTTCAGTCATGTTCTTTTGTATAAAAAAAAAATAAGATTTTACCTGTTTGTTATTGTTTTTTTTTCTCTTCTTTCACTGTATATTATTATAATTTAATCTGTAAAATGATCACTTCACTCAAGAGTTTGGATAATCACTTTCCATTAATGGAAGTTGTCTTCACAATCTGTGATATGTTGAAATAGGTTCATTGTGGAAGTAACAGTCTTAAACAAATTCTGAAAATCATCATTTATATCAAACTCGAAAAAAATAATAACTGTTGATTTTAACAATTATTATTGTCTTTTATTATACCAACATAATAGAAATGATCATTCCCACAATGTATTTTTATATATTTAATCAATGGAATAAAAGTTTTGATGGACCAATTTTCTTCCAGAACATTGTACATATTGAATTTTTATTGTGTATGCATATTGGGCATTGTTACTTTTTTATAACTTTTTCCTTATCAGTGAGTGCTATACTACCTAACTGCTTTGTCAGAAGTTAAAAGTACATGTTAATTTGTTAAACAAATAACTGGCAAAAGAGAGAGAGAATTTCACTCACAAATAATACTGTTTGTGACTTTATTTCCTCTCCATTTTATCTGGAGCTAATTTGTTAAAAAAAATCAAATTTTTAACAAGATATTAGATAAAACATATTAATAAATATTGTTAATATTTTTAATCTATTATCAAGAACTATCTTATAATTGTGGTTTATAATTACATACAAGAGAGAATTGTGAAGTTTCATATTCTAAAGCTGTTCTATAATTTCAAAAAAAAAGAAAGGAAAAAAAATGAAATTTTAGAATAGTGTAATTTTATTTTTTAATTTTTTTTTCTACTTGTAAATTTGTTAGCGTAATCTACATATAATTGAATATAAATGTATTTAAAAACAGTCAAAATAAAAATTTAATTTTTCTTTGTTTTTAATTATTCACTTTAAAAAAAACCACAATTTTTTTTATCCTTTGGCACATTTAAATAAATGGATAAGTAAGAAAATATGGATTTTCTAGGATATTTTTACATATAGGAGTTGGCATATGAATGTGATAACAGCAGAAATGTCGATATGGTTTGTTTAGGAAAGATTTTATCAACATAGTTCATCTTTACCTGTAGAAGGAATTGTGATAAGCGTGTTGACTGATGTCAATATTGTCAGTTGATGGATGCTGCAGGACATGAGAAATATTGATAAAGACTCCTACACTTCTCCAAAAAAAGAATTTTTATATGATTAATTTTCTTGAGAACTTTAAATAAGTAATCAAAATGATAGCTGATATTAAACAATTCGACTGTCAGATTATTAGAATAATGCTTAAAATTACAAGAATATTCAGTTATAAGTAAGATCTGTCTACTGATATTTTCACACACTTGTCACATGACAAACTTTTAAACTTGTTTATATAAATTTTAATAAAAATAGTCAAAAATGTATGGTGAAGGAGGAGGAGGTATCAGTCTAATCAATTCTGAACAGAAATGTGTGTTGAGATATTTTCAAAAGGAAGGAAAACCAAAAATTCGATCGATAAATACTTTAGAAATGTTTCTTAATGAGTATATCGATTTTATTTAATAGAAATGCCAAGTTGTAGTTTCGCTAATAGGAAATTGGAGAAAGTCTATCTATTTCTTTTATAGATGATACTAATCAATAAAGAATTTTTCACGTGATTTATGATCTGTTTTTCTATGTATTAGATTCGAACAGATTAATGAAAATCGTATATTATTATTATTTTCTTATATACACGGTTAATATCGAGAGATCCATTAATCTTAATAATGAGAATTTATACTGTTTCTATTTAAATTCTTTTCTTTTGTAAAGTTCTACTTATTGGAATATCTGATTTATATTAAGAAAAATTTAAAGATTCAACAAAGACTGCTATGTCATCTATTCTAAACTGCAAGTCAAGCAGTTATATAAAGGAAAGAACTAAATGTGAAATAGATGTAAAGAAGAAAAGGACATATTTTAATGGCTGAACCCTGACAATAAATGTATAAACAGCACAAATGGCTTCTCCGTATGCTAAATTTAATAAATAAACTTAAAAAACAAATGACTAGTCTTTCTATTGAATCTTTTCAGGGGGAAAGTGAACTACATTTTTAAAAGTTCAATTCTTTCTAAAACAAAATAATGTATAGATCCGATTTTAGAAAGCTGTAAAAAATTAAATTTTATTTTGTGTATAACACGATATAAAAGAATATGAAAGAATATTCTATAAATACAGTACATATGGTCTTAAAAAATGTAAAAGCCTCTTATCGGATATAACAAGTCTTTCAATTGAATTTAGGTCACTAAATGTCCCTTTGTTTCGTTCCTAATGCCAAATAAAAGTTTCTAAAGTGCATTTTTTAAAGTTTTATAAATTTTATTGGTTGTATTGAAATTATTTACAGTTATAATAGTATTTTTTAATGTTACTTTGAAATTCAATAAAGTATTTATAGTAAAATTAATAAATTTTTTAAAATCTTAATACAAGGGAGAATTATCAAGATAGTCAAATGACCCTCTATTTGGCTTAAAGCAGTGTTTTTCAACCTTTTTGAATACGCGACCCCTTTACAAGTTAAAAAATTCTGGCAACCCCCTAGGGCCATATTAAAACTATATCAGTGATTTTAAAAACTATGTATTTAATTTTCTTTCTGTTGAGAAAAATTATTGTTGATTAAAACGAGAATTTGAGAAGAATCGACAATAACTTAAGACACATAACGTATGAAACTTCCTTTTCATTATAACATTGGGCTCGGATGCTGTTGACCTTTTTTTTTTAGGATGAGAATTTCCAACTTCTACTTTTCTACTTATTACTTCTTTTTGCAAGTCAGCTCAACACTTTTTACGGCTATCATTTTCTGCGGTGGCCCATACCCACCCGGGCCCATCTCTGGCTACACCCATCGTTGAGACCTGAATGTCGATCAAAAAACCAATTGTACTGTATAATAAACAGGTACAGCCTTCTCGCTGAAATTGTAGTTTTTTTAATGTAGTGTAGGACCTACAAACACTTGTCTTTTTCTTTTACCCGCGACCCCCTGTGTAAGACTTCACGACCTCCTGGGGGTCGCGACCCACAGGTTGAAAAACACTGGCTTAAAGTATTTTCAATGGCAGCTATTGAGATAATTTGTCCACATTATCTAGGCCTGTATAATTCTCGTGAGACCCACTAAAAAAGGCTTCAAGATTTAGTCTGTTATGTAAATGATAGAAAAGTGATACAAATTAAAGTTTCTTTTGATAAATGGTAAAAATTCTGTTTTCGTTTATTTTATTGTTTTTTATTTATATATTTTTTTTATGGCTTTTGGAGAGGATGATGCCTTGTCTTATTTTATCAGCCCTGTTCGTTATTATAAGTAACATTAAATTTTTGTACAGATGACATTTTGAAATCCTTGGAGAGAATTAGAAGAGAACTACTAATTCGCAACCTTTGTTTATGCAAGAACGTTTTAAAATGGAGTCAGAAAGATAGTAAAACGGAAAAATAAAATCCAAAATAAAAAGTGACAACTTTTATTTTATGATTTCGTATTCGAGAAAAATATATAAAACAGTTTTTATATTTCGGTTTTCATTTCTGACGTCACCAATAAATGAATTTATCAATTCGCAGAAATAGTTGACTTATCAATAGCTCATCTCAATTTTTTATTTTCACTTTCCCGGCTGTTATAGAATATAAAGTAGGGAAAGTAAGGTAATCGGTCAAATTTTGACTCCCGCTTTGGAGTTTTTTTGCATATCTCGATCTTTTGACATTCTAGGAGGCCAAAAAGTATCACAAAAATGTCTGTCGGCATCAAGATTAGATAAACCAAAATTTTCGAAACTTGGATTATTTTTATATATCGTGCATATTAGAGTTATGATATTAAATTTTGGTGTTAAAGGTCACTAGAGTGGGGCGATAAGGCATATGTGTTGTATGTCTTGTGGGTTCAGACTTATTAGCATTTACATTTTTTTTTTTTTTTTTTTTTTATAAACTCATCTCTACCTACCCTCAAAATTAAGCCTTTTGCCTTTTTATAAAAATTAATAATATAAAAATAATTTTTAAATAAATCGTATAACAGATGGCGCCATACACTGTTTTAACCTGTTCTAAAGTGTCTTAGTGGTTTTTAAACGGAGAAATTTTTCATAATTCAACAAAGTTACTTCTCTTAAGCTTTTGTTATTATCTAAATTTTATATTGCAATATGATTGAAAATTATCAGGCTTCATCCCTTAACCCTCTATTTTTAACACTGCCTTATTGACACTAATATGGCAGTGGTTCACTCAAGATTTAATCTTCGGGGAACCGACTTGAACGGATAAAAAATTCCCACTTTATATGATCGTTAATTCATAAGTAATATAGAAATAGAAGACAACGCAAAATATAAATTTAAAAAATTAATTTTAATTAGAAAAAGATTTTTGGGAAATTTTCTAGTGTTTGTTTTCCTTTTTCTTTGGAATTGCAAGGACCCTTGGCTCTCCTCTAGGTGTGCCACTGAAGATGGCCTTTTAATTATATCCATCATGAGTTGGAAAGGCCCTGATGGATATAATTTAAAGGGGCCCCGGATGTTGAATGAGGGGACTTGACATGTACAGGACAGACCCGAAAAGATTCCTGGTGTTTTTCAAACTTCCAGTTCCCCAGAGCTATAGGCTGACGCTTTAACCGCCTGGGCCATCCGGTCGTCTTTAAAAGCAAGTACTTCCTTAGCGTAGATATGTTGTGACGTTCAACCTATCGCAAGAAATTAAATTTAAACAATGTTGATCTAATTAAAATAGTTTGTTATGTCATTAAAAAATACAATTTCCTCTCTTTATAAATTATCAAATAATAATTTTCTATAATTCTTTAATAAATAATTTTCTATTTAAAAAATTTTATTTTTTTTTAACACAAAATTATCTTCCAGATTGAGTCGAAATAGAAAGCTGCTTGAAACATGAAAATAGCTTTTAATTTACATTGTGTATTTTAGTTAAGTTAACAATTTGAAAAAATAGGTGAATTAAATGAATTGAATAGATTTTAAATTTGTATAATAACAAAAAGCAAAATAAAATAATCTTAAATTTCATTTTTAATTTCGTAATAAAATTTCGTTTCTTGCAAAGTTAGGAAATTCATAAAACAAATTGTAATTACAGTACTGTGTTCATCTATAATTGCCTCGGCCATCCTGCCATCGAATCTCATATTTAGGAGGAGTCAAAAATATTTGTTATACATTATTCATTCTGGGAAAACCTTAAAAAAGGAAGGCCTCTCCAAAAATCCCTTATGATATTGAAGTATATGTTTAAAATCACTTACAGCACAGCTTCTATTATGACTTTCATGCAGGTCTAAAAAATAAATGGCTTATTACTTTTTGTTGGGCTGTAATTTTCAAAAATTACCTATGGTGTCCATTTGCCTATCTTGTTCTTCCTTAATCTCGAGAACGGAGTTAGGTAGATAAAATCAAGATCAGAAATGGAAAGTTTAGAGACAGGAGACCCCGATTTCACAAACCCGGACACACAAACTTTCGGTTTGGACCGGAAGTTACGTTATTCCAAAATAATTTCTCTTGAATAGAGTTAGATAGATGACTGGCATGACTCTGTTGTTAACAGGAAAAGTATGATGTAAAGGGACAAGACACTACTAAAATTGAAAGCATTGTGACGAAAAATTGCAACCCGGCATTACGACTGTTACAACAAGCAATTGCTC